TGAATTCGCTTGTTTTTGTAGCCACATTTATATGTGTATTTAGTTTTAATTTTTTTTTTGTTAGGATTTTGGGGTTTTGATGACACAAATTAATTTTTCCGTAGGAATTAAAAAGGAAAATGATTTTTTTATTTTACTTTTGGAAAAAACCATTGATTTTGTTGGTTTTAGTGGTTAATAGAAAACACTGATTGTCGGAGTAATTGTTTGCGTATTAGTTTTGTGTGATTAGGTTTTGTTATAATATTTTCTTTTTGTTTATAATTATTCAATTCTTTTTAGTGGGTGTTGGTTGGTAATTTCGTTTTAATTAATTGTTTTGTTCTTGTGAAAACATATAAAATATTCATTAAGTCTATTTGGCTAAAGTTTGAATTATTTTTTCTTAAGTTTTATTTTAATATTTCACAATCCTTCAATTTTCATTGTTTTATTTTTGTTTTATTTGTATTGATTTATTTCTTTTTTTGTTTTATTCAGAACTATTTATCATTTATTATTACCCTCTGTGTTTATATTATTTTGTTGTTGTTTTTTATGTGAAGTACGATTTCCGGTAAAGCCCAACATTTAATGCTTTCTAAACAGACATTTATAAATTTCTATAATTTCATTTTTTTGTTTGTTTTTTTTTTCTTCATTTTTTTTTAATATTTAACGTCCTGGCGACAATTGCTTAAGTCTTTTTTTAGTCTACAGAAAAATGTACATTTACACTCATGTTTTTTGTTTTGTTTTCTTTTCTGTTTGTTTTTTCCTTGTACACTTAATAGATTCTAAAATAATTTTATATATAAATAAATATATATGTTTGTATGTGTATATTATCTTTATTTTGTTTTTTTTTATTTCTTAATTATTTCCGAAGCTGTTCTATATTTGATTTCTTCTAGCTGGTTTGCTTTTCAAAAATGTGTATTTTATTTATTTTGTTTTACTTTTCTTTACAGTTTTTATTGGCTGCAATTGTAATTGCAATGTGGACAGTGGTAAGTTGACATTTTATTTTTTTGTCCAAGAAATTTTAAAGGTCTCATACATTTTAAGCCATATTACATAGGAGCAAAATGAAGTATTGGTCGTAGAACTCGATGAACACCTGCTTTTTTTAATTTACAATTGAGTACATTTGTCTCATTTTGAATGAAGTGCATTTCTTTGTAAGAAACGCTGACATTTTACTTTTTTCACAATTTAAGAATAAAAGTAGAATTCCCCATGGCGTAACTTCTCTCCATTCAAAATTAAATTTTTACTGATGCGTGTTTTACTTTTTTTTTTAATTTTATAATGCAGACGTTTATATATGAAAGAAGGAAGTCACATGCCTCTTCAGTCCATTGCCAAGTGGCAGAGAGGATCGAGAGCTTAAAGCTCTGTAGAGTCAAATTTGGAACCTCAGTTCAACTATGTCTTCATATGGGAGGCTCGAGTTTATTCCCTTCCCTTGTTTTCTTCTTCTCCTTGTATCATTCAATTTGAAGTTGTTTTGAATTTTTTAGGGCTCATAACCTCGAAGTAATAAATAATCCACATTTAACGAAAAGTAAACAATATAAATAACAATTCTTTATTTTCACACTTCCCGCTTCATATTTTTGTTTTGTTTTTCTTTTTTTTCATTTTCAAAGCATTAGTTTTGAGATTTGTGTTATTTCCTCATTTTTCGGTTTTATTATAAACTTAATACTACTTCTAACAACTGTGTGTTGAGTTATTATATGAACATTGCCAGCATGTCCTCGTTTTTTGTTAATTATTTTAAATTTCTTTTTAATATACTGCATTTTCTCTTTGTGTGTGTGTGTTTGTTTGTTGTTAATTAAATTGTGAATATTTGTTTATATAAAAAACTTTTGAATAGAAAAATATTGGAAATTTATCAAAAAAGGTAATGTGAACAACAATTTCAAATTGCATTTGCTCTATTGTGTTGCTGTTGTTCTTGTTGTTCCGGAGTAAAAATTCTTACAAAAAATGTACAAAATTGCATTGGAATAGATTCTAATGTCCTTGCACTGAGGGTTTTGTGGCGGGAGAAATTGTTTTCTTTTAATTTTTTACAATTTGGCAGACGTCTATTCATTAATGGATTTTCTTTTTTTTCTGTGTTTCAAAAAAATGGAAGGGCGGGAAACATTTGTTTTGTTTGTCTTATTATTAATTGCAAAAAATTGTAACTTCTATTTTGTTGTTATTCCACATTCATTTTAAATGTTTGTTTTTTTTTTTTAATTTTAGTTTATGTTTATTGTGTGTGTTTTTTAAATAGCCTACTCATCTAAATTTTCATTCAAAAATAACTTTATTTGTTTTGTTTTTGTTTTATTTTCGGTTTTGTTTTGTCTTATGTAATATAACACTTCGTTCTAAAAAACATCGACCTTGTTTTTAGTTTTCTAAAATATTTATTTTTCTTCTTGTTGTTCTCTATATATGTTGAAGGGGGTGTTATTTAAGGAGGAGAGGGTGGTTCACGTATGTTTCAAAACTATTTTCTTTGATGGTGAATGGGGATTTTAGGGCGATTAAGTAATGCAAAGATTTGATAGATCAAATAATTACACGATGCTACGAATTCTAGACGAATTCCTTTTTTGAAATCGTTGTGGGGTTATTTCGAGACTCGCGGAAGTAATATGCGCTGCAGTTGTTTTAGATTTAGGGCATGTAGGGCAGATTTGGGTAGTCTGGTGCAAGGTGGTGACTTAGGGTGTCACATTTTTAAATCATTCAACTATTTGAAAACAGATGAAGTAAAGGATAATCTGGACATCTTGAACTCATATAACTCTCAAATATAATTCACCATGGAATTTGAAAACAACAATCAATTGTCATACCTGGTTTTACTTATTATAAGAATAGGACCCCATCACAAACTTGGCAAATCAACTTTACTTCTAAGCGCCCGAGAAGAGATATTATTAACACAGCAACCAAGTTCATACAGAGGGTTTTAGACAAAAGCCATGCAGACGTTCACAACAAAAACATTAATATAATTAAGAATATTCTGATGATTTTCCTGACAAAATCACCGACAAACTAGCTATACGTGCATGAAAAGAAGGGATGAAGAAGACAAGCGAAATCAGAGAGAAAATATACAAAACCATGACATATACACGGGGATTTTCAGAGCATTCACGACAACATAGCATAGCATTTGAAATAAAGGACACTCTGAATAATCTTTTCAGTAAATTAAAAAGCAAAATTAAGGACGAGCAGAAATCCAACGTAGTGTACCGTCTTAAATGTAATGGAGACAAGTCTAACATATGCCAAAAGATATGAGTTGACACTACTAAGTTGAAGACAAGAGTATCCGTCCATAAATCTGATCAACAACTCTCAACAAGCCCGGAGAACCCATAGTAACAGGACGTATCCTAGATTTCAATGACATTAAAATCTTAACTCAGGACCTAGACTTGTTGCCAGAAATTAGGTTCTCTAGTTATGTTTATTGTCATATCCACCTTTATCTGAGATCCAGTAAAGTGTTTAGAAATTGCTGCCTACATTTTGCAAAAGTATTTTTTAAGTATCTGGTGGTTCCAATGTCTCCACACCATCCTACCAATATACTAGTTGATATATACAATGTCGACATATGATACCTTAAGAAATTTCATTATAAAATTCATTGTCTGGGGTATATTTGGTCAGCAGTACAAGTGATTAAGTCAATAGTATCGACATTTTCCACAGGGAATTTTGTAGATTTATGCTTGAACCAATTAAAATTCAATGAATTGTGTCCATTTTTTAAATTAAATTACGCTATTTGTGATTAGATTGAAGAGTCTACATCAAAGTCGTTGTTAAAATATTTTTTATAAGAGACATTTACCACGATTAAGGAATCATTTTGCGGAATGGTGTAGTAATTGTTGAAATATGTATGCACATTTGACTATAGCATACACATAGACCCCCAAGTTTGTAATATGTACACATGTTGAAATATGTACTTCAATTTTCGCCCACACTCTAGAAAACTAAAAAAAAGGTTTAAAAGTAATACCCTTTTCTTTACTACAACACGTTTGTCTGTAGCATCGTGTCGTTGTCATTCAAACACCATTATTTAATCGCCCCGAATGAAGGATATCGTATCCTTTTTCATTTTGGGTGTGGTAGCTGGCTGTTAGAACAACAATTGCTCTACAGTCTACAGTTAATCAACCATTTAATCGTTCAGCTGATGTCTGATCAGAGCTCAGCCCTTGACCATTTCCTTTTAAAAGGATTGAACGATTGATGAGACTACTATGATGTTATTGGTAATGTTAGGGTGTATGTGTGTGTTTGGATTTATTGATTTTTAAATAAATTCTAGTAAATCAAATACCCGTATATAATTTTCATTAGTTTTTTGTTGTTGTTCGTAGTTTTTGTAATAATTTTTGGATTTGAGGTGTTGGCTCAGTATTTTCTCTATGGTTTCATTTTTAACATTTCGTTTTTTTTTTGGTTTGTCGACATACAGACACACATATTCATTTGGCCAGATAAAGGATTCTAGGTGAACATTGGGTTTGAATGAATTTGGTTTCCGATACAATACAAAGTCTTCGGTGTTGTATATCTATGCGGATTTAAAATGACACTCAAAACACACATACATATGAACGGTTTATGTGAACTGCTTCTATAACTATTGTCTCAATTTCTTTGTTATTTAATTTATTATTTTTTTCCATTTCGTTTTCTTTTAAATATTTTCTGTTTTGTTATATGTTACGTTTATCCGTTTTTTTATGTTAAAAAGAGGGTTTCCTCAAAAGGCGCGCTGTTCGAGGCGTTTTCGTGCTTTATTCTTCTTCTTGTTTTTTTTTGTGGAACAACGCCTCTGTTTAGGGTGGGGTTTGTTAAATTTCGGTTTCCTCTGCTAAAAATACTTAAAACCACGTCATACGTATTCGAGGGGTTTTATTTTGTTGTTGTTCTTTGTGTTTTACTCTATTATGGGGAAGTAATGGTGGTGGTGGGGGTCCTTGAGCTTTGTGTGGCTTCTTAAAATATAAAATCGCCACAATCCATGGCGTAGTCGAAATCTTCCCCTCCCAAATCTTCCACTGTCGAGGAATGAAAATCGAAACCTCCAATGTCGGTGTGATAGACGGCGCCACTGCAAGAGGTATCGATCAAATTGGTGCAGTGTGTTGTTGGCAGTGCATGCAAAGTGAATGTATCCTCGCACTGAGACCATGTTAGGCCTAAAAAACGAAATCGAAAAATGCGGAATCAATTGTTTTGGGAAACAAATTCGATAATTCGTTATCCATTCTCACCTCCACTCCACACGCCATTGGGCAGAGTCGCCCATCCCCAACCATGGCCCCAGGGCAGTGCGCAAGCTAGAGCAGCTTTTGAATCGGGGTTTTTACTTAAAATGGCCACAGCCGCATCACTTTTCACCAAAGGATTCTGATTGTAGAATGCCCGTTGCGTTGCCAAAGAGCGTGATTTGCTGTTCGATAATGCTTTGCGTTGTTTGACTTCACTTGAAGTGGCAGCTGGAAATAAAAATGGGAATTTTTGTGAATTAATTTGAAGGGGACAGGTCTATTCTGTTATAGTAGATGTTTTATATAATTGTAAGCCTATATTAATAACTTTCAAATGATGTTCAACTTGATTACAGGTACTTAATTTAACTGTTGCGATATATAATTTTGTAATGGATATTTATTTATAAGAGAGTACGAATTTCGCTTCAATTGTGCATCGTTGTATATGTGGTATATTGTGCATTGTTGAACTGTATGTGCAGCATAAATATTTTGACAATTTCAATTTTTCTTTTTGTTGACACCTTGTTTGTTTGACTGCATTGATTAACGGTAACATGTTTATGTCCAATTCAATGGTCAACAACAAATAATCGAAATATCTCTTCTAATTCTTTATGCATTCTCTTTCTGCGGATCGAAAGTCAAATTTACATCATTATTGAGTGTGGCATAAGTAAATTGATAAATCTTAAAAATAATCATTGCACAAGCTTCTCTTGGTGAAAGTCAATTTATTTTGTAGTTTTAGATTTCGGATAACCTTTCTCCCATAAACAATATTGGGAAAGTGTTATAAATATAGCACAAGAATTTAATTTATAGCGCCAAATGGTTTATTATCAAATAATTAAATTTAGGAACACTAATAGTGTACACAATTTGGCAAGGGCTGGTGGAAGGAAACAACAATGGAGATAAGATGATTCTACGAAAATTGAGATGAGTTGAATTTGAATTTAGCAAAATCAATTAGTAAACGGACAATCCGTCGACGCTTGAAAGAAAGCAATTTTAAAACTTACATAAGCAGAGTTATCCCATATATTTCACAACAAAAAAATCAAAGCGTTTGTCCTTTGCAAGGGAGTTACCAGTTACAATCCAGTTAAGTTCTGGACAAATGTTTTTTTGGACAGATAAGAGCACTTTCGACTACAAATCTTCCAACTTCACAACATGAATGGAAAACAAAGGCTTCAGAGCGCCAAAAATGACTCATTCAGGGGGGGTGGGGTGTGTTGCTCGTAATGGCTTGGGTAAATTTTTACCAATTGTCGGAAACATAAACCACCATTAATATTTATCGATTTTGAAGGATCACGCATTGCCTTCTGGACAGAAATGAATAGGGCGTCACTTTATTTTACAGCAAGACAATGATCACTGTCATCGGAGTAAACTGATTAAGAAATATTTTAATGAATGGATCTCAATGTGCTGAGTTGGCCACACCAAAGTCCTGATGTAACGAATGCATGGGCTTATATAAGAAGAAAGAGAAATGTTTCACTAATACTCGAGACGAGATTATTTCAGAAATTGCCGCTCAATGGATACCATACCATTGAAATAGTTTTATGTAAAAAGAATAGTACTTTAAATGACTTACTTTTTGGTTATATTCCCTAAATATGTATTTTATCTCAACTTTACTAAAAAACAACAAGTCTCATAGAGAATACAAGAGAATACATCATAAAGAATACAACCTAAAATAAAAAATTAAATAAAAATTTATTTTCATGACAATATAATTATGCCAATGACTGTACGTATATCAGACCTGAGAATTTAAATATATAGCCAGCTTTTGTAGTGATATAAATATTAAAAAAAGTTTATTTCGGATCAAATCTGATGCTCCTTTTAAAATAATGCCTTAATCCATATCGTTCTGAAATGTTATTTTTATAGTTCATATTAAGTCCAGTACGCTTTTAACGAACACCGGTTATAACGACCTTTCTTTATAGGGAACACATTTCCTGGTCCCGAAGTTTTAGGACGGATTATTCATACAAATATTTACTCTTATATCGAACTTTTTTAAACGAACTATTTTTTTTTTTCAGTTTTCATTCCATTCTCGATTTGAATTTTTTAAGATTTTCAATGGGCTGGTAAATCAATACCAATGCTTGTTAAGGTTTGTAACTTTGCACATATATAATTGAAGATTTAAAAAAGAAGAAAAATAATTTACAAAAAATTTTTGTTATTGTTTTGTTGTTGTTTTTTGTAATTAAAGAAAAGTCCTTATTTTTGATGGCGGGCATGATAACTCCTCACTGGAACATCGGAATCCGAAAATTCCAACGGTGTTAGAAAGAGTACATGTCTGGCTCTCGTATGAACTAGGATTATTGACTTCGTTGTAAAATTAACAAAATGGTGGACCTTTGAAAAAAATATTTTTGGAAAATCGCCGATTTTTGACCAAAAACCAAATTAAAAAATAAGGAAGATCTTCACCGATTGGCTTTATCCTAGTTCATACGAGAGCTATACACTCCCAGAGAAACGATGCAAAATTTGGAACCGATTGGATTATTAGTTTTTTTATCGTGCCCGCCATTCGCAAAAAAATGTTTAGAGAAAAACGCGTTTAAAGTTTGAGAAACCCTTTAACACTTGATGCTGACACACTAAATCGGATATATTCAACATATGAATTTTCACTTGAAATTTTGTAGAGACATTCTTTAATCAGTGTAGATTCGAATTATATCAACAAAAATGTTGACCCCGAGAATGGGGGGTCCCCTTAATTTGGTTATAACCAACAGTTAATTTATATCGTAACGTTGGCAACCTTTACAAAAAATTTCATTTCATCAATGACAGCCTTACCTAAAATTAAACTAGCTCGTTCGACGTTTTTCACCACAAAAGTAGAACACATTTATTTATATGAATGTTATCGAAATACGTCGAACGTACAACATTTCAAGTTGAACAATTTCAACTTTGACAGAACGTATTTTTAATTTTTTTCTTTTGTTGAAAACCAAAACAAAACATTCTGGAAATATGAAATTTTGAATGGAAACTAAAAATATTTGGATTAATATAATAAATTTTCAATTTTGTTTTGCGGATTGTATTATTTGCTTGAAGATATGGATTCGACGTATTTAGGTAATACGGCCGTACACAACATTTTGCCATACTGGCAAAAACTACCAATTTCGGAACTGAATAAATTTGTTTTGGTAATTCTAGGTTTGCCTTATCTTGGATATAACACAATTCTTCTATAATTAGTTTGATATAAACGTACTTTACTGTATTTTTATACTTGAAATTCTCCTTTTTCTGTGTCGCAAAAAATCATACAGTACTGTATTTATCTCACAGGTTAATAGTTATTATTTTCAATTTTAATAATTCCTTCCTAAAAAAATCTATTTCCATTGCATCATTCAATTTGAAGCCACTGTGGCAAAAACATTTATTAAGAGCTCAAGAATTCTGCGAACAATTAAATCCCAACAATGGCTGAATGACTCAAGTACTCAATCGAATAGATACTCGATCTGCGGAGGAAACGACGCGCTACATATTTAGCATTTCAAATGAATCGATTTCTAATTAAATCGTAACCCAAGTCCTGCAGCGGATGTGTTGTTTCATGACAGTATTTGTACTAGAGTAAGTATGTGTGTGTGGCTGAGTGTAGAAGTGTTAATATATATAGTGGTGCACAACAATACCAATGCAACCGTTTGAAAATCTTAATATAGAGACGATGACAACAACAATAGCAACACTATCTCAGAGACAATTGAAAGTGTTACAACACAAGGATAAAGAAGGAATAAAAGATTTACACTTACGTCGTATGCGTACCAGTGGTCTGCGTAAGACATTCATTAAATGGGGTTTATCGACGACCAATTCGATCTGGGGAGGAGGTGGCAACTGTGGATGAGATTTGAAAGCAGATTAAAGCAAATACACAGACAAAATACACACATAAACATGCTGACAAACACACATACATACAAATAATGATAAACTTAAAGGAAAGACACACATACATTTAAACTAATACATGTTAATAATAAAGGATGAATGGTGGCTGGGGTGTGATGTGGTGTGTGTACGAATGGATGGATGGGTAGCCGGACGAGTGGTAATGACGGGAAACAACAGCAACCGACAACAGGCAACTAACGTAATTAGATTGTTTTCTCATTTTATGGAACTTTATTGTGTTTTTATTCATTCTTTAAGCTTTGTTTTTGTTGTGCCAGTAGTCTATGCTGCTGCTGATGAATCTGCCTTCAATTTTGTTTTTATCGTCCTTCTTCATTCATCCATATCATGAATGGATTGTGTTGGTATTTGTAATAATGATGACTATGACCATAAAAAATGTGTAGAGGAAGGATGAACGAACATGGCTGGCTGGATGACTGGTGGGTTAGTCGGGCGTAGGCGTCATCCTCTACGGACGGCACTCTCGCAGATAACCATCCCCATCCTCCAGCAAATAGCCCATGTTGTAATGTTGATTATAGTTTGGTGGCCAACATTAATACTCACTGTTTTTGTAATGGCATCGATCCATTCACTGGCGAAACGGAAGCGCAGAGCATCGTATAGATGTAGAGAAAAAAATAAATGAAAAACAAAGAAATGTTAACAGTTGAACATCGAACAATAGTTGTCCGCATTGCAAATGATTGAAAGGCTACATGGCTGGTGGATGGATAGATTGATGGACATGTTTTTGTTTTACCTAACTTCCTGTTCGGATTTGGCCAACATCCAATAGACCTTGGATCGTTTTCTTCTTGAACCCAAGGCTATCAGCTGTGAAACGCTACAACCTTCGGGTAGTGGTGGCCTCCTTGGTATCTGGCCAGTCCAATGTGCTATGGCCAACATTTCGGGTGCTTCTTTGACAAGAATTTTTCCGGCCGGTGATGAACGTCCCGGTTCTGTAAACCAAGCCATGGTCGAGTCATCGTACAGAACAACCCACTCTTCCGCCCAGCGATTCCAAAGAAGTTGTTCTGTAAATAAATTAAAAATTCAATAATTTGTTTAATAATAATTTTCAGTAGAAAAAAGACAAATTGTAGGTCATCAATTTACGTTCATTTCAATCGCCGTATATTCAATTCAATAAAAAAATAAATAAATCTAATCTCAGTTTTTAATGGATTTTGTGGCCAAACTATATCGGTGAATAAATAATTTAAGTTGAACGCAACAGTTGAAGGGGGCGAATATCCAAATAAAATTGAATTAAAATTCGTGCACCCAGTTGCGATAAATTAAAAAAAAAATAAACTGAGTTTTTTACAAATGGATTTTCAATTATCGCCAGCATACAGGTTGATGGAAATGACATTTTATATTTTATTTAAGTATAAAATAGAATATTATCAAAATGATAGATGATGAAATATTGCATCATATTATTAGCCCTATTCTATGAACTTTCATTTAGGATGCTAGATACCAATTTGAAGTTATATTTATTGTTGTATTTGTTTACAAGGAGTCAAACTATTTTTGGCTACATCTTTTTACAATCTTAGCAACATTTCTCAGCAGAAATGCTCACCGAAAGCTTCCACATTGTCCATGTGGACAAATTGTCAATAGTATTCGATTTTTTGTAGCCGAATTGTATCTTGTCTAACTAAATCGTGGCTTATCACTTGGGGTTAATTATAAAACCAACTTATGTTTTCCAATATCTATTTCAGTCAATTGTTCGCTGAATCATTCACATCACTCTCATTTTGGCCAGAAAATCAATTCGTAGGAAATTTTCTCCAACAAAATATTTTCGAAAGAACCTTTTTTCGCAGTGACTTTCAAATGTCATTTGTATTTTGGTTCACATTACGACGCCGATGGGTATATTCGATTCCAGCAACTGATGTTGTTGATGGCGTATCAAGTTTTTTTTTTGCTGTTGTTTGTTTCATAAATTCAATAGAAATTACCATTATTTATTAACGGTCACATTTTGATGATGACAACGAAAACAAAAACATAATGATTTGTGAAATAAAACACAAACACCAACAAAAAGCAAACATAACCAAACAAAATATTGCCACCCAAATAGTGTCGATTGTTTCAATTGGCATAACAGCTCCGGGAGCATGGGCCGATAAATTTTTGGTTGTTGGTTTTGTTATTTGTGAGGTGCACCATCTGTTTTAACACTAAGCCTGAAACGGAAACAGCCTCCCAATGGTCTGGCATTTTGTAGTCAGGCAAAGCGTGTTGTTCGGCACACATTGAGGCGCATGCATGTCATGTCACATCATAGTCATCCTCTGATTGTCCTTCTCGTCGTCGTAGTCGCCATCGTCATCATCATCGTCATGACCATTATGCCGATCATTTGTATTGGGACTATTGTATATTTTATAATGCCCGACCATAAACAAACAATTCCAACATGAAAGTTTTTCCATTTAAGCGAACGATGTTGGTTGGAACAGTAATGGCACCAGCCTCCATCATACTTCAAACGCAAAATTCATACATACACATCGAATATGTGTATGTATTTACATAAATATGCGTGTATGTGTACCAGAGAATATTTTTATGGTTTTGATAACAGGAATGTTCGGATATTGAAGAAAGTTTCCTCATTTTGCGTAAATCAAACTGGCATACACACATCTCGATTGTCATTTGTGCTTTGCTGTTGTTTTTTTATTTTCGCATGAAATTTTAATGTGACAACTGTAAAATTCCGCAGCATCATTTGTCTGTGGATTGTGGACTTGCTGCTGCTACTGCTACCGCGGTTACTGTTCATAATTTGGGCTTCATGTTCGTCATTATCATTGTTATCTTTATTCCCATCGCTCCTGGCCGTATCTTCTCTCCCTGTTAGGAGAGTACCCGTCAGAAATATATCCTTCGAAACATTTGATTTTAATGAAGCTACAAACAGACATACATTTACATACACTAGCTAGATACAGATACAGCCAAACGGTTCAAAGAATGAATAAAAATCCAGTGTCTCCTGGGTGGAAACTGTCAAACACTTTAGTGTCACTAAACGTGGATTATTCCATGCTGTCAAATGCCGAAATGTGCGTATGAAGTTGGCAGTGTGTGTGTGTGAGCGTATATAACACCCATATTGGGATTGGCACACTTCCTCTTATCCCTCTATTTATGGGGATTTTCCGAGAGATTTTTAACGACTTTTTCTTGAAAACGATGGAAATAAATAGGGACTAATGTGCCATGGGGGAGATTTTGACAAACAAATAGGAATGTTTGCAAAAGTGGTCATTACCATTTTCATTTTTTTTTTGCGAAATCTTATGAATTTGAATGTCTATTCTGTCAAAAATGCATTAGCCCGGTCAATAATGCCAAGTTTTCCAATAAAAGAAATTGTAAAATTAATTATGTAATCAAATAATAACAATCAGATTTAATCCAGGATACGTTAATCTGCATAATACTGCGCGGATATAACGTACCACACAAATCTACGTATGAAAGAAGAGCTAATCAGCCTAGAGAACAATAACTCCAAATTTAGTACACATTTGTACAACAGTAATCTTCTTTCCAAATGTCAGTGTTTGAACTCTATCGGTTCACCAAAATCCATATTGTACCTAATTTAGTAGCATTTAGTACCCATAAGTACGAGCTCCATCCGTGCCTCCAAATAAAATTTGTACCAAAGTACCATATAGTAATTTTCGTATACATGAGAACACCCCTTCACCAGATCTATCGATTCATGTTAGCTCTATCCATTCACATGCTACGAAACTGTACCCAATTTAGTACTTTGCGGATGCTTATAGTTCGAATGACCAAAAAACCCCTCTACACTCACCCTTATTTCAAATTTAAGACTCTAGCTCTACCGGTTCGCCAAAAACAAATGGTACCACATTCAGTTCTAGTACGAATTTCCAAAAACCAAGCCTTATCTGACACCTTTGGACCAAGAGTAACTCTCTAGCTTCAGACGTCCTGGCGCTGATGAATCGTTAAGTCAGTCAATCACTTTACTCATTTATTAGTATAGATATACTTAATATTCTGAATATCATCTGATTATCGTACACAAATATGAACACACAAATAGTCGTGAATCCAACATTGAGCAAATTGGGTCTAATGTCTTGGTTGAGATATGTTGGTCAATAAATGTTTTAGTTTATTACAACTCATAAATAATCACTGTTTTTAGTTTTGTGAACATATAGTTGAATGACATGGAAATGTGAATTCTTTTGATCGAAGATCGGAAAAATATGTGAAACTTAAACGTCGATTATTCCGGCATCTATCTGTATCCTCCAATTATAGTAATGCCTAGTCATTTGATTGTGTGTGCTTTAGCTTTGGTTGCATCCTTCTTTTCTTTAATGCTCTATAAACGATTTCATCGTATCTCTCTCTCTCTCTTCGACCAAATTGAAGGATTTCTTTATTTTTGTTTTCTCACAAATTTTCACTAAAAATTTTCGAAACTTTGCTGTGTCATTCAAGTGTGAATTGCACTTGTGCTGATTTGGCACATTATAACAACAATGTCATTGTGTTGCTCAGAGTCGTTCTCACTCCTTATGGAGAACGACTTTCGTTTTTTGCCTACTCACTCCTTCCTACACACACACAAACACACATGCCATTATCATCTCGTTTGTTGCTAGAGGATCCAATCCAAACTAGCTATGGAAGCAACAGCATCCTATGTTAATGGGTGTGTGTGTGTATGTTAGTATGTATGTGCGTATATTATTTTGGCTATGACTTTTTTGTAGTTCATAATGTTGTTTGTGGATCTACTTGTGCGAATATTTGTGTGTACAGTTGCAGTTGCGACAATGATGATGAGGATGAGACAACCAGTAATGGAATTCAATATACATACGTATGTGTGTGTGTGTGTTCTTAGTTATTAGCTTATCTCTTTGATAGTTCAATGCTAGTTTAAAAGTGTTGCCACATTGTTTAATGTAGAAGCTAATAGGCTTAAATTTGTGTCATATTCTAAAATTATATTTGCAACAATTAGACTTCCCTATTTGATACTGCACCTCAATGCATTTGAGTGAACACTGCAACCGGATTTTAAATTACGTAAACAGTTTCAATATTTGTTTTTGAATTGGATAATTGCATATGTATAATAGAGCAATTGATGTTTCATTTATAAAATGGGATGTAAATAGATTCATGTTTTGGAATAGAACACAATTTCAATATTTATACCCTACACAACTATGTTGTCAGGGTGTTATGGCTTTGTGCAGCCCCAAGAGTTTGCAACGCCGCGAAATATTGGTCCTAGACCCACCTTTAAGTATACCGATCATATCTCGACTAGCTGTGTCGATCTAGACATGTGTGTCCGTCCGTCTGTCCATTATAATTTGTAAATACGATACAGGCCACAGTTATGGACCAATCTTCACGAAATTTTGCATGTAGGATGGGTTCTAGCCCATGAAGAAGCCTATTGTTTTTGGGAAAGATCGGTTAATATTTAGAAAATGAAATGGAGAAAATACTAATTTTTTGTCGGTTTTTCTGGTCGCTCCAGAGGCCGCAAAATTGGCCCGAACATCGTGAAATTTTGCATGGAGAAGGGGATCGATCCAAAAAATAAGCATGCCTGTTTTGATAAAGATCGGTCAATATTTAGCGGGTCAAATGGACCCTGGCTTTTGTGTGAAAAATGACAAAATTTTTATTCTATAGCGTATAGATTTACCCCTGAAGGACATAGGCCCGAGAAGTTGATATTATATCCAAGAGGAGTGGTTAACCTTTAAATTAAGACCAATTATATTGTTGTATGTGCTCGGATGTGGGAGTTACACCTACATATTTACAGGTATCTCCGTATTCGTATATTATTTAGTAACCCATTGTCACTCTGGAGAGCGGAACTATAGCGCTGATCGCTTTGAAATATTCCATGAGGTTCCAGTTATGGTCAAGGATAACGCATATAATTTTCGGTGATGATCAGATAATAATTTTGGAATGAAGTAGACCGAAAACTTAATTTTTTGTTTTATTTCACAAATGAATGCCGAACATCACAACACAACCCACGGCGAAGGGAATCTGGACAATAGCTGTACTGAATACTCATAATATTCGAAAATATGTGAGTGTGAGGAAAAGGTGCTGTTTACCTCTAATCGGGCAAGAGGGTGCAAATATCTCGAAATATTGCCCATGCTCGGAAAAAACATCCGCAGAAAATTTGAGTTCCGTGGTATTTGTGTAGGGTATCGTATGGTCGGCCCCGCCCGACTATACTGCTCCGCTCACTGGTTTTAAGTTATATCCGCCTTACTTGTCAAACGAATTTGGGGTTGTTATGGTTATATAAACTCCTCGTTTGCACTTTGACATGGATTCTAAATAACATTTGAGCCCGATATCAATTGACTGAAATATATATTGAGAAATAATATATATCTCAGCCCGATTTGAATGCTGCATATCCACGTCCATTCAATCTGGCAACAATTATTCTTCAACAATTCGTTGGCCATGAGTAATGTCGATTTTGTTGTTGTCGTCTCGTTGGTGTTATATGATGTCGGTCGCCGTTAGAATTGCAAGTGTCATTTTATGTGTCATTCTCCTTGTGGCTGTCGTTGTTGTTGTTGGAATCTGTTACCACCATTGCCATCCTATGGCGGCACAACATTCTAAAAGCTGTACCCTCTAGTGGGTCACACTGAACGCGACTGTAGCATATTCGTTTGTGTGTGTGTGTGTCTCTAAGAGAGATGATTTACTTTTATTGTTATTAACTTTTTTACTTAAGTTTACTACTTTGGCTTTTAATACAATTTATGCTATGGCTTTGAAGGCCACTGGCACACATCTACATACATACATGGGCGAGTGGTACATTTTACTACTGTTGTTTGGGGGAGAGAGAGTGAATGAGAGCGAGAGAGTCTCTGAATGAATACTTACTTTTATAACGTAACAAATATCCTCCTTTGATTTGTTTACCAACATTACCTGCAAAAGAAGAAACAGAAGAAGAAGAAGAAAGAGAGAAATAATAAACTGGTATTAATACTTTGAGAGGATTATCTTTTGGAGACTATGTGTGTAGATATATGGGTGTATGTTAATGCCTGCCGATAATGTCATATAAAGAAACACCAACAAAAGCTGCGTACTAAACGCCAAGATAATCGTTTAATAGTCGGATGAGGGGATGATGGCGACATAACGGTTATGATATAAACAAACATCGAACAAATGACTGAAGCCATTCCATCATCGCATTGTTTGTGGATAAAACTGAATTATCCTGAGCACTTTTTTCTTATTTATTGCCAAGGTAGCTGTGGTTGCCATTAGAACTGTTCATCCATTATATTTTGTGAACATAACATAGCGTTAGAGTGGACTACGTGTCTGTGTGTGTGTGTGTTTTATTATGGCCTTTGAAAATCGAAAGTGAAAGAAATCCGAACTAGGCGCATAAAAATATAATGAAATGAAATAACAATTAATCGGTTTCTGTTTTGGTTTCACGTTTAGACGGGTTCTTTACATTTAGATGTGAGAGGAAGACACAACAGTTATAATTTTTATCAGCTAAAATCAACAACAGAAATTATATTATACCTGATAAATGTACGATGAGAAAAATCTTCCAATAACTACCGAAAATTTTACATGTAGTTCAAAAACAAACTGGCTTCGGTATGAGCGTTCAATGTTGCGAAACCGCTGTATAAACTTTACTTAAAGAAAGAAATGCTAACAAGAAATTCGATGCCAATCGGATTCTGTTCACTATATAGTTGAAGCAATAGGCTAGATACCCAGCCGATGAGGAATTGTATTTTAAATTTTAGGGCCTTTCTATGCCGTTTAAAGCTAAAGTTTTTAAATAACTTTATTCAACCCAAATTCTATGGAAAATAATTATAATATTGAATATATTTGCATAATACTCATCAACTAAATCGGGAGTTAAATATTAAAGATTTGTCCTGTGGTCAATTTGGTATTATTCATAAAATACATGGGAATGGTGTATTAAAATGAACTTTTTTATATTCCCCACAATTTAATTTGTATGTATATTAGGATGTAATTGCTTTAGTTTAGCAGAATTGCTAACTAAGCAGAAGAGCAACAAACCGTAACGCCCTAAAAAAACGGAAACATATTTTCAGATCATACAATTCATATGCGGGCATTGAGCATTTTGTTCCAATTTAGTTTTCTCAGTGGACCGAAGAGGTTGTTGTTGTTGTTGTTGAACCGACCTTCCCACCCCCGTTCTTGCCCCATAAAAGAGATTGCCTGAGCATTTCGTTAAGTTTTTTTTCGTCTTCTTCCTTAGATTTTGTGTTATGTTTTTCAAGGAGCCAACAACGAAAGAAATGAAAAACAAAAAACAGAAAGAATATCATCAGAAATTTAAATTTGAAATTCAATCGAGTGAATAATCGCCCGTTCTTTCGTTCGTTCGTTCCTTCATTTTGTCTCAAAATGGCGGATTTTGAAATGCTGGCGAAAGAAAGTAAATTCCATACGATGTCAGCAGCAATCGTTTTACCGGAACGGCCAAGATAAAATGGGTGTGGCGGGCGTGTAATTATTCGTCTAGTGAATCATCATCATCAGCTGCTGCTGCTGCTAGTGTTTTGTCAAGTAATCTGAACTGATATTATTGTTTGTAAGCGGGTGTGTGAGTTTGTATGTGTAATCAAGCCAAGACAATGATTTCGACTTGATTGGTGGCATTACTACTGTTTGCATGGCTGCCTGTTTAGATTTAGTTGAAGCCACCGATGCTGATGATGTTGTTATTCCCCTTATCCTTGGAATTTAGCAGCGACATCAGCTTGAGTGCAGCAGAAGCATCAGTGCTTTCCTCCTTTTTGCCATTCTTAGTTTTGATTCTTTGCTACACTTGAAGGTTCTTTGCTAAGTCGCCAACAATATGCAGTAGATTCTTTTTTGTTGATTGGTTGCTTGGCTGGTTTGGCGCTACTCTCTTGATAGAAGGACAACGACATTGATGACAAGAATGGGGATAACGATAATGGTGATACTATGATAGTAACTATTCAAAAATTCTTCAATCTTTGTCATTTGAATCCAATTTCGCCACCACCGACATGACAAACGCCAACCAATTTTGTTATTGTGAGAACGTCTCTTCCATATTCTCTTTGCTTTCCTTTTTGTAGTTGGTGTACGAAGAAACGATAAAAAACGACTGACAAGAACAAGAAAAAGGTGAACAAAAGAAAATGCATTCTCAAGAATAAATCAATCATATCGAACGAAATATGAGTAGTCATAGAATGTATATAAGTGTGTATGTATGCATGAATGTCTATCAGATTATTTTCATTTCCCTGGATTTACTGTATTTATACATACGGATTCGGTCGATATTGTCCATGGACATGGAGCAGGTCGCGGGGGAGGTGGTAAATAAATATGATGGCTATTGTTTAATTCATACGAATCATAATCTTCAGATATTATGTATTGAATTTCGTATTCTAGTTAACTTTTTGTGAATAAGAAGATGGGTATTCAAATTTCATTGATTTAACTATTTCCACGTCGGTAGATAGGTCAAGCGTTTGTTTTATTTATGTAAACATCTTCCCATTATTAATCAGAATGTTTTCAGAGAAATTTTGGGCCTGTGTTTACCTTAATTAAATTAAATTTTATTCTATTTTATGAAAACGTTTTTGTTGGTTTTCGTTGGCCATCCCGTCCCAGTCTTGTATTATATATACAATTTCCATGGGATAGAACCTTTATGGGACACAGCATTTAAAAATGTATGTAAATATATTTAACAACAATTTTAAAGTTATCGACATATTCCATCTCTCAGAGGTGTTTAAAGCTATGTCTACTTTCGGTATTCCTGCAAGCTGATGGTATCAACGCGCAAGACGTCCAGTAGACTCGGACGAACTGTGGAACTTGAAAACTACAGCTTTGAGAAAGTGAACGGTTTTATATACCTCGGTACCGCCATAAACAAAAACTATAACATTAGCTTTGAAATCCTATCTATCCTACTATGGGCTGAGTAAGCAATTCAAAAAAAGGCTACCTCTTGCTAAACCAAACCTACTATCTACAAGGCGCTGATACTACTCGTGCTGATGTATGGATCTGAAGCATGCGTACTTGCGCAAGCAAATGAGAGAGATCTTGGAGTGTTTGAGAGAAAAATTATCCGAAAGAATGAATCATGAGTTTTACCATATATTCTCGGATATCGACATAGTCAGACGACTACGGCGGATAGGTCATGTTGTGAGAATGATGGTTCACGTAGAAGAGGAAGGCCTCGAATTCGATGGAAAGATCAAGTGGAAGATATCATTTCGAAACATGGTCCTTCAAAATGGAAGAGCTGATCAAAAGTCCTAATATTGTTATATTAGTCTAAATATTTGTGATTGTCTGACTGAAATATTGACTAAAATGTGATTTTTTGGACTTGTAATTATTTTTAATTATTTCCAACATTTTCACGTGAAAATATATAGTCTCACAAATAGAAGGAGTACCAGAAGCCTAGCAACAAAAGACTTAATTTTGAACAAATTCAACGGTGAAACGACCTCGGCTGAGTTACTATTTCTTGGGTGGAACAACGTTGAAGAAAGGGAGAAGAATAACCCTTTTCAACACCATATACAAAATTCTTGTAACCGTAATACAGAAACGACTTAAAGGTATGCCCTCAAAATTAGAAGACCTGAAGAGACTGGCTCAAAATCTTGGACTTGAGCTTAATATTAAGAAATCTAAGACCATGAAACTAACAACAGCTTCGGGGGAGACCGATGACGAGTTTACGGATACTGACCTTGGGAATATCAAAGCATATCATTCCACTAAATTATTTGGAATGACCGTACATTGAATGACTTACATAACAACTAAAATATATACATACGTGTTTGAAATTGTCAAGGAAGAAATCGACGGAAAACAGTTGATACATATCTCTAAAAGAAGTAATTGTTACTTCTAACCTCTCAAACTAATCACATTTAAATACATGATATGTATCTGCTAAATTGCAAGCAAATAGTTCATTCCAAGTATTTTTTTTTATTATGTACTCTGCTTCATGCATTTATTGGACATTTTAATAGGAAACAATTTTGATTTTATTACGAACTGCCGTGAATAGGTAAACAAATGAAAGAAAATCTACTGCAGCCCACTTCTTTTTCAAATAAAAACACCATCATCATCATCGTGCCCATTGTCGTGCAGATAATGATAATCATGATTCAATATTCTTGGAAATGTTCATAAATTTGTTATGAACACAAATTCCCTCAAGAAGAGAAGAAGAAGAGGCATAAGACCGAGACAGAAACAGGTTTTGATTATTCTTCACAAGAGAATGTTTTTTCCATTCATTCAAAAATTTATCCTTCCTCCATATATGGCAACGTAGAAAGCATCCATTGTGCATAGTTTTTTTGCTGATGTTGCCGCTGACGCGTCTGACATTCCTATCCTGTCCTGTAGCTGCCTTATCCCACATTTGTGCATCGCTTGTGCTGTTGTCTGTTCTTCGTCATGCTGCTGCTCTTGTTGTTGTTGCTGCTGTTTTTATTTTGCATTATCTTAAAAAGCAATTGTGGCAAATGGTATTACCTTGAATAAGTTTATTGTTCAATGAATACCATTTGTTGTAGTTGTTATTGTTGGCCGTAAAATGTAGATGTTGTCCTTGTTGCTGCAATTTACTTCAGATTGTGGATGAGTCCTGCTACAGTGTCAGTCGGAATAACTGCAAAGATGGCTAGGAATAATAACATGAAGAATTTCATGCAAAATGTAGGAAAAGGGCCTTTTTTCGATTAATTTTCCGAACATCTAAATATGAATAAATGTGTGTTATAGTGTTTGGGGTTAGTATGGGATGCAATTCGTATGTTGTTTTTATTAGAGTTGGACAATCTAGTTCACTTAGCGGATTGATCTTTCTCGTT